CATTCACATGAATATCATCTGTCCAAACTAGCCAATATAGCTTAAGTTTTGATGACTCTCAACAAACTGTCCTGAACCATCTGTGGGCCAAGAATATTTACAGAAATTATCTGGTACATAATTTTGAATAACAAATCCACAATACCCAGCAGCTGTTCAGAGAAGAGTCACGGACACAAAAAGAGACTATATTTGTCAAATAAATTATTCACTATTTATTATTTAGTCAGTTCTGCTTGGACACCTGCTACCTCGGCGGCTAGCATCCCTAAATGTTATCAAGTAAGATGACTTTGCCTTGTACTCTAAAATGGTAGATGTGGTCTGCAGTGTTATCAACCTGTCCTGCAGTTTTATCACAAGTCTCATGATTAGAGAGGTCCTTAAAGCACCAACTCCCCCAAGATGTATGTGAGAATCTCAGCTTTCATTTCTTTTTAACAAGTAACTTTCCAGCCCTCATGGTGGCAGAAACAAAGGCTTTAAAACACAAACCTTAAAGGCTCAACACCAAAAGGCAAATAAAAAAAATATCAGAATATCTCAATTTTTAAACTGATCTCATGATTTTTGAACTCTTGGAGTTGGCAATATTACGTCTACAATAGGACAAGATACTTTGCCAGTGGCTCCAAAGGATCATCTCACCCAAAAGAATACATAGGGCCAGGGTAAAAACTGCCTGACTGTTTTGTGCTTGGTTTCCTAGCTGATTCTTATTTGTATCTGTAAGTTGGAGAAGTCTATCAAGTAGGTTGGCAATACTATTATCCCCCATTCTTTAAGTCAGACAGTTGTCCTTCTCAAGGCTTTATTACTGAGGCTTTTAAATTGAGTCCTTCACAACAGCAGAAACTGAACCAAAGCAGCTTCACAGGAACAAACCCATAGCTGGTAGTACACCACAAGTAAATGGTGCTCAGTTTCTTTTTAAAGGCGTCCCCAGAGCTCTATTTATAGCACTTCCTGCATACCCTCTGAGAGCATGATTGTGCCTTTAGCCCCCAGCCCTGCCTCGTGACTCCACTCTGTACACCTGTGGGAGACAGCGTAGGGCATCAACTCCCCTGCTTGCCAGAAAGCAAGCAGCATTTCTCGATACAGCCACAAGCTCCTGATAGGTAGGTTGGTCCAATAGATCTCTCCCCCAATATTTTTTCTTTTGCCCACAGTATTTATATTCAAGCCAGGTGCAAAGTATTCAAGCCAGGTGCAAAGCTCTAGCCCTGGGTATTTTTAATGAAAAAAGTCCTTTCTTCCAAATGTGTTTTTGTACCCTGGGTTCATAGTAAGGGAAGATAGCAGTACCTTCAGCACAGATATGTTATCAGAATTCCTGCTGAGCTAACTCCCTCTCCCCCACCGAAAACATCCCACATTGCCTCTGTGCTATTGCTCTGGTGAGGCTCCTCTCGGGTGAAATTCACCCCTGTTTTTATTCCACTGAAACCTTCAGATCAGGACTTAAGTGAGGCTTTGTGGTGGGTATCTGCGCAGTAGTGAATTTCACCATTGATGCCCGGTATCCCAGTGACACAATATGCTCCTGCCACTCAGACTGGATTGATGAAATACCAGCACCAACAACACTGAGAGCTGGTAACCCCAGCAGTGACTGCAGTCAGCTTCCTTGGTTGAGATAGATCTTTCTCACTGTAGTTAACATTTTAGCACTTTGATGTATTGCCCTCTAGCAAGGGCCAGCCGAGGGATGGAAGGAAGACTTCACTGAGCCAAACAGACTGACAAAGTTATGAAAAACTGAAAATGCAGAATATGCAGTTTAAAGCATGTAATGGTGATGCAGTGAAATGAAATCCCTGCCCTTTCGGCCTAGAGACTATAGGTACAGTTACAGGCTGCTAAGCCGGCCTGCTAACATATGCTTAAAGTTAGGCATGTGCTGAAGTGCTTTGTTGAACAAGGATGGACTACCAAAACAGGGCCTGAATGAGACATTGCCTGTGACTTTGCTCTGTTACCCTCAATGCTGTTAGAAGTTAGTGAAATTACATTAGGTAACAATGTGCTTAAACACTGCAGCTCCTTACAGCAATGACAAACAATGATATCTCTTCTCCTCTTACTTTGCTTTTGACCTTGCAATCAATGGAGTGTGATCCAACTAAATTCATGCTGATTGTGCCCAAACCCAATTTTCATTACAAAAAAACCAGCAAAAAACATAAGTTTCTGCCACCGTATTCATTTTAACATTTGTGACTTGCTGTCTCTACCAGCTGATAATGTTGCAGATTTATTAATAAATATATCACATTGTACCAAACATGCCTAAGCACAACTCTCAAAACGCTCCACAGATATACAATGGGAGTATTTTAAAAGGTCACGCCAGTCCTAGAGATATTACTTGTTAATTGTATTCCCTATTTTGTGCATCTGGAATATCACAAAACCCTACAACCTCTCGAAAACGAGCATGGGCTACTCTTTAAAGACCTGATTCAGCAAAACATTTGAGCATGGACTTTGCGCTTTAGCCAGTAAGCTGGGAGGCTTAAAGCGAAATCTGCGTTTGTGCGCTTTGCACAATCATGACCTTAGTGCTTTAGAATCAGCACTCAGCACTAATTTTTAAGTGTTACCGAAGCAAAGTAACAATGGCACAAATAAAGAATGTGTGTTACAGTGCTTGTACAGCAATTACTTTGCCGGAATATGTAACCACAATCTTAAAGTCACAGATATACAACTTCTTCCCCCAAACTGAAAAATATATCTTAAAAAAGTGCTAAATGTGGTGGGTTTTTTTCATTTCTTTCTCTCATTCTTCCCTCCTCCAAGGAATCAGCGCATTGGTCTTGGAGAGAGAGGGGGAGAGAGAGCTTGCCATAAAACCAAATGCCCTGAAACCCCTTCAAAAAGATTTAAAATAAACGTTTAACTCTCTTCATAATGATTTGAGCTAGGAAGTCACAGAAAGGTCATATCGCAGAGGGAGTGGCTCCTGAGGCAAAGGGAGCCTTTATTACTTTAACTGACCTCCTCCAGGGCTATTTCACATACATAATCTAAACTATCCAAACCATGTGCCGGGCAAGTAAGTTAAATGACCACCCTCTCTGGGCCCAGATTTTGACTAGCCATTTGATTTTGCTTTAGTTTAAGATCTAGCAGAGCTATTCCTTTAATCCCATATTCATAAGATGTTCAGGTATGTCAGTAAGGTTTTGTCAGCACAACTGAATGGCTGAGTAATTAGTAATGATTCTAAGGATCAGAGATTGCAAAGTGAAGTAGTCATTTTTTTCAAAGGTTCCTGGCTTAACTATTGGATAAGCAGAAGTAAGTAAGTTCTACATATTCTTCTTGTATTTGAAACAGTATTGTTTGCCTGCGTTTTTAAAGTCAGCCCATGAGAGATGAAATTTGACTTGAGTGCTGCCACCTTTTGGCTATATTGGGAAGAAACAAGAAAGTATTTCAAGCTAAGCCTGAAAAATGAACTCCCTTTTTAGAATGGCTGATCATTTTGCACCACAGTCTTTCTGTTCTTAAAAAAGAACAGGAGTACTTGTGGCACCTTAGAGACTAACAAATTTATTTGAGCATAAGCTTTCGTGAGCTACAGCTCACTTCATCGGATGCGTTCAGTGGAAAATACAGTGGGGAGATGAATGAATGCATCCGATGAAGTGAGCTGTAGCTCACGAAAGCTTATGCTCAAATAAATTTGTTAGTCTCTAAGGTGCCACAAGTCCTCCTTTTCTTTTCACGAATACAAACTAACACGGCTGCTACTCTGAAACCTTTCTGTTCTTAGTCCATCTTGCCTGGCGATGGCATTTTATTATGTCACCTCAACCTTGCTATTGTTTTCCACAGAAATCAGAGCAGATAGAATGCTAGGCTGCCACTGTGTTTAGTACCATCTTCCTTATATGCATCCTTTTACACTCAGGGGCACAGGACTAAGGATGCTTGCTTTGTGGTGAAGCCTTTCCCTAATAATGACATGGGATGTCCAGGATCGTCACTTGAATGAACAATTGCCCTGTCACAGGTGAACTAACTCAGACTCTCATCCTCACCGCTAAGTGTGATGATATAATAATATCGCATATTAAAAGCATACTTCCCCTTTACGTAGCACATTTCAGTTGAGGCCCACAAGCCTTTTCTGAAGAGAGTTCAGAATTGTTGCTTCCATTTTGCTAACACGAAAGCGGAGACATGGAGAAATTAGGACCCATCTTACAAATGCATGTAAGCGCTTTTTCTCTCTTTCAAAAGCTTAGGCAAATGTAAATAGCCACTTGGACTCCCATCTATGGGCTCAAATGAGAGATGGCTCCTTGGGATTTTTAAACCTGGTTTATGGCCATAGCCCAGCTGTCTGCGAGCTCCTGGGCTTCCGCACTCGGAAGGGGTGGACGCTCTAGGAGAGAAGCACACACAGGGGCACCCAAAGTCTGCCCCACATGCTCAACAGCAATGGACTCAGAGCTGTGACTCATCCAAGAGATGCAGGGTAAAATGCTCAAGCAGCAGCCTCTCATGGGATGTTCTGCACTCTGTGTATCCTTAAAGCAGTCATTCAGTACACTGTGAAAGGACCCTCCCATATACTCGAGAGATGGGGAGGGGAGAGAAAGAGAGGGAAGGAGGAAGGTGGGAGACAGGCAGGATTTATCAAGGATTCATAGGATTAGTAAAGGGGAGGAGAGTCAGGATTAGGCTACATGGCAGGAGAGAAAGGGAAAAGGTTTGGAGATACACAGAGAAAGTTTTCAGAAGAGGGTCACCAGGAAGTAGGGAGCCAGGAGGACGACACCTAACCAGACTGGATTTGCATAGCAGGCGATAATTCAAGGAAAGGAGGTGGAGGGCTAAGACTCAGCAGAGGCATTACCCTTATATATACATTTGTTTATGTATTGACTTGTACTGGCCAAAAGAGACTCCTACGGTTCAAGCATTGAGGTATTTTGCATGGTGTCTGATGTGATCATTAACAAGGTTGATGAAAATAGTGTGATCTACCTGTTCAATCTAAAGACTACAGGGATTTTCCGCTCTGTGCAGGCAGCAATGAAGTTGTCCGGCAGTAACTGCCCTGCTGAAAGGAACTGGTCATCTTTGCCTTGATCAATTAAGATGTCGAGATGGGAGTCTGGATAAGACTTCACAAGATGGGTAGCATCATATGCCTCCCATTTCGTTAGATCTGATCCCAGATATCCACCAAAGGCTTTCTTCCCCCAGGGACACTGAACTGGGTTGCAGATAGGAGCAAATGCGGATACAGATTTGTATTTTCCAGGATTCTTCAAAGCAAGGATAAGAGCACCATGGCCCCCCATTGAGTGCCCAAAAATAGACATCCTTTCTGAGTCAGCTGGAAAATTGGCTTTTATTAATTTAGGCAGCTCATCCTTTATGTACGAGTACATTCTATAGTTGGTTTTCCATGGTTCTTCAGTGGCGTCTACATAAAAACCAGCACCTGTGCCAAAATCCCAGCTCTCATCTTCTCCTTCAATATTGCAGCCACTTGGGCTGGTATCTGGTGCAACTACAATGAGGCCATGTTCAGCTGCAGCTTGATGAAAACCAGATTTGGTAATAAAGTTTTGTTCCGTGCAAGTTAATCCTGAGAGCCAGTACAGCACAGGACACTTCCCAATTTCTGCTTTTGGTGGCAAATAGATTCCAAACCTCATTTTGCATTTTAACTCTATACTGTCATGTTCAAACACCTTCTGGAAACCCTCAAAGCATTTGTTGCTGGAAATCTGTTTCAGTGCCATAATCTCAACAGGTTGACTTCTCTCGTTCTTTATACAAAAATAAGGAACCTCGCCGCGGGGGTCGGAGCCTGGCGGGCCTGGGAGCCTGAGCGCGGAGGCGCTCTTAACATGGCGCCCCCCGACTGCCCCACAACGCCCCCCCCCACCGCCGGAGACCTGCCTCCTCAGCCACTGCCACCGCCCCGGCCTCCCCGCCAAACTGGGCCTTATATATACATGAACCTTGGAGGACTTCACTCAATCTCGTTAAGATGCAGGTTATGCAGAGATGCACTCTGAGCTCAGCCCAGAAGCTATCTAGCCACTCTGTGATGAGCTAAATAGGTAGGCCATATGTATATTAAAAAAACAATTTAGGTTCTTTTTAATTGGTTTAGGTTTTGAGTCTTTGGGGTTCATGTTTCCAAGCGATCCTCTGCAGACATGTCAGCTAGACACTTACCTTTTAAAAAAAACTAAAACATATTCTAACAGAATCGCATGACTCTAGGAACTGGCGCTTTAAGAAAAACACCAAATATCACAAGACATGGCATTGCTGCTGTATAAAACTTTTATAGCTTTAAAAGCCTCTGTGGATTGTTCCCCCTTAGGAAAATCAAATACAAAATGGCACCCAAGAGCTCGGGCAGTAGCATTTGGTAGACTCTAACGAATAGATCCCCATTGGAGCCTCATGCCCATCACACTTTTGAAGTCACCAACCATGACTTGAGCTTTTATAATACAAGCAACACAATAATACAAGCAACAGCCTTATAATATGTTTTTATATAATGAGAAGAAATAGCCTACTACAGTACCAGGCTTCAAATGAAACGTATCCTGTCTGTTCAGGATAGACTGCTGTGGTAGACATTAAAAAGGAAGGTGCATTTTAAGAATCCAGCTTAAAAAAATCCACTAGCTAAATCTATTTCATCCCCAGTTATATCTTATTTTTAAGAAGGGAAGACAGGTTGAATTAAATTGAAAGCCATCTATTAAACAGTTCGAATTTTCACTGAAGTTTATTGAGCAAAAGTCCATAAGAAACTGCTCACTTTTTTTTATCCACAGAAACCTATTTATAGGAGTTGAATTCTAATAAACACAGATTGCAGTGCAAAGAAAAAAAGGTCAGCAGTGTATGCTCAAAGCTTTATTGATGTCTTGTCAATCAATCTTTTATTTTGTTGTTTAAAAAAAATTTAAGGAAAAGAAATGCATGTAAGCACTTTTTCTCCTAATAGCAGATTTATTGAGCATTTCAACAAATCAGCTCATGGATACAATAAGCAATGACAGCCAATTATCAACTTTGTGTTTTCAGGTCAGGTTATAAATTGACCCTGTGTTCGCTTCTCCTCTTTCTGGGGAATAGCGAACGCCTTTTCAAATATCATAATTTCCAATAAACTTTTTTTCTCCACCTCTGCAACATGCTTGAGGGGCTAGCTTGCTAGGGAAACAAAGTAACACATTTTGACAAATATATACAGCCCAATATATTGTTTTCCTGTAATTTAGTTAAAACAATAAAGCTGACCACCTTAAATCTGAGGGCGTGGGCTAAGAATGTTGGGAAGTTTAGACGTTGGCCTTTAAGCCATAGCAATTCTTCCCTAGATAATTTTACAGCATATGTGAGTGTTATACAGCCTAGTAACAGACGTAGGCCCTGATCCTGCAATTTATAACATGCAGGCAGACTACTGGGCCTAAACAGAGCCCTACTGACTCTAACTAACATTGACATTGAAGTCATTAGGGGTTCCTGCAGACACACCAATCTGCCTGCACGTAATAAATTGCAGAATCAGGACTTTAATCAACCAGCAATTCTTAAAAGACCATGACAGCTACCATATTCATTCATTACCATAATCAGAAACACAAAATACAGTTTTATTGCAGACTTTATATTTAACATAGAAATTCCCAGAGTGGATTAGTCCCAAGATCCATCTAGTCAGTAACCTGTCTCTGGTAGTGACCAGCACTAGATGCTTCAGAGGAAAGTTAAAGAACATTGCAAGAGGTAAATGTGGGGGCTAATCTGTCCCCCCACATTAGGTCTCACTCTGAAGTCTGAGGTTTACCATTGCTTTCACAAAAGTTTTATCATCAATTATGATAACAATGATAGCCCTATAAATGAAGTGACAAGTACTGGACACAGTATTCCAGATGAAGCCGTGCCATTGACTTATATGACATGATTATATGTTCTTTGTATTATTCAGCATCTCATTACTTATGCAACCAAAGAGTTCAGCGGAGGGCAACAAAAATGATTAGGGGACTGGAACACATGACTTATGAGGAGAGGCTGAGGGAACTGGGATTGTTTAGTCTGCGGAAGAGAAGAATGAGGGGGGATTTGATAGCTGCTTTCAACTACCTGAAAGGGGGTTCCAAAGAGGAGGGATCTAGACTGTTCTCAGTGGTAGCAGATGACAGAACGAGGAGTAATGGTCTCAAGTTGCAGTGGGGGAGGTTTAGGTTGGATATTAGGAAAAACTTTTTCACTAGGAGGGTGGTGAAACACTGGAATGCGTTACCTAAAGAGGTGGTGGAATCTCCTTAGACAAAGCCCTTACTGGGATGCTTTAGTTGGGTATTGTTCCTGCTTTGAGAAGGGTGTTGGACTAGATGACCGCCTGAGGTCCCTTCTAACCATGATATTCTATGATTCTATGTGATATATGGCATTTTGTTACCATATACAATTTGATTTTGTATGTACTAGCATTTGCCTCTTTTTAACTGTCTTTTTCCTCCAAGCTATACCAGTTCTAAATGACATTGATAGTGGTTGCTATTAAAAAGTCAACATTTGTCAAGGGTTAGCACGCACAGAGGTAACTGAGAATACCACACTTTTCACCTATGCTTAGTGCAAGAGTTCATGTAGGGAAGTAGTTGGGTAATACTGACTTTAATAGAATGGGAAGGATAATATTCTTTGGTGCCAAAAATTTGACTTTTCTTGTTTTGCAAATCATGCACAAAGAGTGCCTAATTTCTCTAAATGCATTTGCTTTTCATGTGTTAACTGAGTAATTAGCATGAAAAACTATTCATCAGATGAGTTGTTTGTGAGTGCTTCAGTTCCACCTTTCACCATTAATGGTGTATAATCAGTTACTGGGTAAAATTTCAGCTCTCTGATTAGATGGCTGAACTCTTCCCTTTTTTAAAAACCAGAAGTAGGACACAACAATGACTAATGTGAATAATGCACTTCTGGTCCAAATTTTATTAAACATTCACAAATGTTTCTGATGAACACCAGTAGTGATGCAAAAATTCACAAACAACCAGCAATGTGACCTTGCAATCCATCAAATTTGAGTCTTTGTTCCCATAAAACGGATTTGTTAATCTATTTTCCTTATTTGGCCTGCTCTTCCACCTCTCTTCCTGCAACAAAAGGCTAAGACTAGGAAAGTGTCCCACAGGGGTGGTTCTTGAAGGTTGTTGTTTTGCTGATCAAAAGATGGTGAAACTTTTTCCTGGGGGGGGGGGGGGGAGAAGTTTGATTTTCTAAATTAAAATGTCATTGAAATATCCAAAATTTGAAATATTGGCAGTCAGTGCACTCCAGAATATCTGAGCAGGGTTCATCCATGATGATTCAGGTGAGCATTTCCCACACAACAAATTGCTTGAGGTAATAGTGTTGCCTAAGAACAGGCAGACCCCAGCCCTCCTTGTTTCCTTTGTTTGTGTTTTGAATATTTTTGGTAAAAACTGTAGAATTATAATGCTGATATATTTCCCCTGCAATTAAGATATTTTCCAGGCTTCAGAACAATCATTGTGTTAGGATAACTCAGTCAGGCAGATATCTGTATTGCACAGCAGCCTGCAATACTGACGTCATTTGGAGTTATGGGCCTTTACTAGAGAAATTTCCAGCTTCAGACATCAGCTTAATCATCCACTGTTGACAGACTGGGGTTTATCGTATTTTATTAAATCAACTTAAAAGCAGGAAGTTGGCTTTTTTCCTTGCTCGGTCTCTGCTACAGGGCTACGCATTTTCTGCTTATTTCACAAAGCATAAAACAAAAATCTCATAAGGTATTTGGAAAGCGTAAAGATTTAAGCCTGCACTTTTGAGAGGTAAAGTAAAGATGATCAAGAATACATCTGCTGTACAAACAGCATTGCTTGTCAAATTTGAGCCACTTTTAGAGTGAAATCCTGACCCCAGAGAAGTCAATGGCAAAACTTCCATTGATTTCAATGGGGCCAGGAGTTCTGTTAGTATTTTGTTCACACTACCATATCCTAAGGCAGATTGATAATGAGAAAACCTCAGGATTCTGACAGGTTCACATAAGCATTCAAATTTTCAGCTGCATGTGAGAAGTGTATATGAATCGTTTTGCTCTAGAAGTGTTAGAATAATAAGATTTTTCTTTTTCAGCATTATCGATACTTTACTCTTTCCTTGTTTTTACAGGCTCAGAATACATACTGATATGGTCAAAACGAGGAAGTGCAGAAAGTCTTTAAAGAAAAGTGCATCAAACTATTATCTCTATATACTTTATGTAGAATTATAGCCATACATGTTGCTGTATGACAGAGTTGTGGCAACACATCATCACAGTATCAAAGCCTCTCACAATATTTAATGTATTTATCCTCAGAACGCCCCTGTGGTATAGGGAAGTGTTGTTATCCTCATTTTACAGATGAGGAACAGAGAGCTAAGTGACTTCGCCACGGTCACACAGGAAGTCTTTAGTGGAGCAGGAAACTGAACCCAAGTCACCCAAGTGCCAGGTTATCAGTGGGGCAAGGGAGAGCGCACAGAGCCCATGCAACTAGGGGTGAACAGAGTGTACACATAACCTCTGCAGGGTGGGAGACTACAGGAACCTGTTACAGGAAAAGAGGGGCACACAGAGCTCCTGTAATCTGGGAGGTTAGGGGAAAGCTGAATGGAGTCTCTGAAATAGAGGGCGATGGGAGGGTGGCACCCAGAGAGTTGTGGGGAGAAATGGAGGGATGCAAAGAAGCCCTCAGGTGTGCCATGACCTAGGCCTTCATATGT